TTTACTGACGCGAACTATCGCGCACACCATAAAAGCTGACGCGACCAATCATTACTTTCATGTTTATATAAAATCCCACATTGGGGGTTTTGGCCGCCGCTCATATACCCATTATGGCAACTTAATTTAAGTTCCTTAAAAGCAACCCAGAAAAGGGCTGAGGGAGGTTTAGCTTTTAGGTCTGGGTGCTCAGCACGTGAAGTTCAGGATTTGCGGTGTGTCTATAATATGGAGAGATGTCAAAAAAGTGGTCCGGTTTTTCCGTATGCTATGCATGAGGGGCCGTAGTATTGCAGGGACCCCAAAGTGGACAGCAGCTTTGTCAACCTATCACAGCTATAGTCTAAACTCCTGGTATCCCCCTTCACAACCCCTAGAATACACCGCTTTAACATCCCCTAAATAGCCCCTTTAAGGAGTTTAGACTATAGCTCATATATGAGCTTTCAGAAAGGGACCTGCGTGAAAGCATTCCGTGTTCTACCATAAAGATGAGCATTTCTCCAAAATGGCGTCCAACAAGAAAAAGGACAAGGAATCCCAAAAGTCAGGCTTCGCCAAAGGAATCTCTCTCTTTACACAACCGGTCTAGGGATGAGACACGGGCATACAAGCCGCAGACCTTTGAGAACTCTATCCAACACCGCCCTGTATATCTCTAAAGTTTATAATATGTCCCTATAGCATGTAGGGTTTAGAGTCGGGGGTTAAGGTTTAGGCTTATTGTCTGGGCTTCATGCAGGGCTGGGGGATGGAGAATCATGGAAAATGACACGGAACATGAAACGGAAGCTGAGATTATAGAGTTGCTTCAAGAACTGTAAGGGGATAGTACTGGTAATTGTTGAGGCTTCTGCATCAGTGGTACTTTCTAAAACACCTCACAGGCAAAACAAAAATCCTGTGCATGCCTATCCTACTTTCTACACCTTTGCAAACCTTACGTTGGCTAGTTTGGCATCTCTGACCAACCCTAAACATTGAAGTTCCAATTCCCTTGCCATTCCCTAACCCTAAACTCGAAACCCCAAATCTTAAGCCTCAAACCTTCAGGCTCGACCAAACTCAAACTAACATGGAAACTCATCGATGACTCCTCCGAAAGGATGTCAGTCTACAAAGCACCCTGTTTCAGGTTCCATCTTCCCTAAAACCTAAACCCCAAATCCTTAACCCCAAACCCCAAATCCTAAACCCTAGACCCGAAATCCTAAACCCTAAGCCCAAGACCCTAAATCCTAAGCCCCAAAAACTGGGTAGTTCAGAGCCCCACCATGGCAATGAGCACGGCTGTAGAGGGCCGGCCACGACGGCCTCGCAGACAGACCAAGGAAAGTAGGCTCAAGGGTATATAACTTAACTAAATAAATAAATATGTATATATATATATGGGGACATAGAGGGATACTGTACATAAGGTTATGTGGATTCAAACCAATGTTAATTCCCAATATACCCAGTAGTTTTTGGGGCCCCAGGCTCTCATTAGGGGTCTTTGGGAGATGTAGGTGGAGATTTTGGTTCAGGGCTTAAGAATTCTGAGCTGTAGGATCTCCAGGTGCGCGTCTGCAGCTATCCACCCCGAATGCAGCCCTGATGCACATTGTAGGGAGACCCGGGTTTACGGTTTAGGGGCTTAGGGTTTGGAAATCCCTGTCATCCATACAGTTGCCGGCAATCTGGTGCTAAGGGCTTCCCCAAACATGGAAGCCCGCTTTACTCCTGTATAGGGAAGAGACACCGTGTCTATCATGATATATAAGGATGCAGGGGGTTTAAGGTATATACCCTCCCCCGAACGAGCATGGAAGCTGCTATGAACCCCTTTGCCAAGGACAGTAATGATTGTGGGCGTTTCTTTGGCTTCCATGATAGTTGCCAGCAACTACAACTCCACACCTTTGCACGCCGTTGCATGGTCTAAGTCGCTACTGCTTGTCGACGTTGGAAATGGCATCTTCCATGTGCTCCTTGTATGTCCCTCTAAATCTCCACGCCCTAAACTTTCTGCCCCCCATATAGTACATACAACCTGAACCCGAACATGTTCCGTCATTCGTAGCCAACATTCAGGAAGACCATGACGCAAGTGTCGGCCCTCAAGCCGCGGATCACTGTGTCTCAACGGCTAGGGTCCCTTGAAAGGGTTATATGAGAATGTATATAGGCTCCCCTGAAAGGGGTTGGATAAGCATGTATAAAGGGTCCCCCTAGAGGGGCTATAGAACAGTGTACAAGGCCTATAACAAGGGATATAAAGGGTTGTCTAGAGCAGAAGCACTTAGAAAAGTGGGCAACACCGAACACGCTACGAACCGTTGCATAACTTGACCTCAGTTTCCAGATCACGTTCCATCACATGAGTTGTCCATTTGATGCTCCATTTATTGGTTATTGTTCACATCCGCTTATAAGCCTTATAGAACTGCAAACAGATGAAGACCCCTGCATTATATCACCAGAACAGAATCATGGTCATAATGCTAGCTAGCCACACCTTTTACTGGATTGCTGTAGGGAACTTAAATGAAGTTATCATAAAGGGAGCATAAAGTAATTAAGATGTTTCCCCAAATGATCCAAAAGTAAATTATGATCCTTAACAGCAATCCAGTATAAAGCTCAAACTGTCCCACATTGGGGCCTGCTCGTCCTGCCTGCTGCCACACAGACCTTGGAAATTGTAGATTCAACATTAGGGGACCCTGATAAAAGGGGGAGATTCTAAGCTATAGGACACAGGGATTCTGTAGGCAGGATATAAGTATACGAGAGATACTCTTGATGTGATCATGTCAAACCTTTTGAGCTTCAGGCACAAATACATAGCGATGCAAAACATCTCTCAACAACAGCCCACCTCTGTAGTCTCCTTAGATCTATAATTCTATAATATAGAATATTTTGATATTTCCTTAGGGTTATACTATAAGAAGAATTTCAGACAATTCCTAAGACTCCAGGCTGCTCGTAAGGG